GCATTCCTGTCACTTCAAAATACAAATTCGAGATACCTAAACAGTGCAACTTGTTATATGATGTGATCCCAATTTTCATCTCCAGTAACATTGCTAACTTGTTCCTTGCCAAACATGCATAATGCATTTTATACTGTCTTACTCTTACATAACCGGAAACCCTTTCATTTCAAAGCTTATCTCTACAACTCCAAAGTTTCCTCAATTCAACTTTTATAATTCCCATTCATGACAACCATTAGCTTAATCATCCAGAGTCTTGATAATTTATCACTATTTTCACCTTGAGATAAAACCCTTGCCGAACTTGGTAAGGTAACTTCTACCTCGGTTATGATTATGGACAAAAAGGAGTAGCCAACCCTAAATGGATACCATGGATTTTCACCCACACGTAGTCTTCCATTGTGACAATAGTGAGTAAGGGTTGGAAAAGGCAGAATTTTAATAGAGTCCAGCTTATAGCTTAATGGCAACCCCCCAACTTCCTTGGGAACCTCTTGATCATGGGTAAGTAGGTGTTCAAATTCAATGCTCTCGCACACCTACCCTACCTTCCCCATCCATCCCCTACTCTCACAAAATGATGAAAATTGCTACAAGTTGCTAGTAATTAAGAGTCTGTTTAGATAAGTTAAAAATATATATCTGGAGAAGCTAATGAGAGCATGAGACAGTTTCTAAAAATTAGTTTATGCATGAGTTAATTTTAGATTTCGAAGAAACTAATTTCATTTTTCCTACTTATTTTCTTCTTCTATAAGTGATCCAGAATAAGTTTATCTAAACACGCCCTTAAATCATCTCACAGGTCCTCTAAGTACAGAGTGTCAATTGCACATTAGAGTCTGATATATTTCAAGTTTGAACACATGTCTCATCTTTCAGACCTTAAATGAGAAACACCTATCAACACATGACATTTTTGTGTAGACCCTAAAGTGGATACATAGCAGGCAAAAACAAATTCAAGGCAAAATGAAAAACCCACAAAAAAAAACGTTAATTTATTCATCACGTTGATACAGGAGAGAGAGAACCTGAGGGAAGGTGGAACTCTGTTGCGTCCAAGTGAATGAGATAAGAAGTGAGTCAACGAGTTTGGAAGAGGAAGAGGAGGAGAAAAATTGAACGGTAGAACATGTGTAGTATTAATCTAATACAAAAATATAAATGTGTTTCGGTTTTGGAGACTGACGACGTCGTTCGGCTTAGCAGCAGCTGCCACTGTCAGTGTTGCCACCCAAAAGAAACTGGAAACACACGCCGGACAAAAGGAGGGATTTGGTGTTTTTTTCTTTTTCTTTTTAATGTTGGATTGATAGAAATTTAAAATAAAATATAATGTAGTTCAATTTTTTTCTTTTAAAATTTTATTAAAAGAAAATACGGTTTTTGTTTTTTAGAAAAAATACTCACAACATTTATGTTGTGTTTGGAAAAGGTGAAAACAAAAATAGAGAGAAAATAAGTAAGTTAAAAATAAGGGAAAGTTTATGTTGTTTGGTTACAATAAAATAGAAGAGAAATAAGGGAAAGAATTTTTTTTTTAATTGAATTTGATAAATACTAAATAAGTGAACACCTTTCTTTAAGTTTTTTGTATTCATTAGTTTATTATAATTTATGTTAAAGTTTTATAATGTAGTTTTAATATCTTATTTTTAATATTATTTTTATATTTTATTTTATTAATTTTGTTTGATTGTAAGATATTTTTTTTTAATATTTCTCATAAATATTGGCTATCTTATTATTTGAACTGATATTACGGCTATATAGGTCTTTCCATGTAGTTTTTTGACCTTTTTCTTGTTGGTTCATTGTTGAGTATAAGACATTCAACCCTCGTATGTCCAAGTTTCTTGCACTCATAACAAATGACTTTCTTGTTATTGCCTTGACCAGGTTTCATGAACATGCCTTTCTTTCTGTTGAAGCTCCATAGTCTTCCCCTTTTCTTAAGCATGTTCTTAAAGTTTTAGACATGAAAGATATTTTATCACTTGTTGAGTTTTCAAAACTTTCATCTGAGTTGCTGGACTAATATGAAAACATTAGAACATATGATTATAACCCTCAAATCCAAATTAAATGTCATGATTATTATATCGAGTAAAAATAACATGTGACCACTAATTCTGCTAATTCACATTTTATTCCTACAATGCCTCTTGCCAATTGATATGGTTACTATTAATACGCAAAGTAGTTAAAATTGATATCATGATATCGCGATATGCCAATTTGTTTTAGAACATCAAGGAAGCGTTTTTCTCAATGAAAGAATTGGATTAGAGCTTTACATTTGATTTTGGAAACTCTTTAGAGGTTTCCTTCTTTTTGTGGAGCTTTACATTTGATTTTGGGGTTCAAAGATGCCATATGAATTTGAAGAAGCATGGAAATCCACAATGATCAAGTTTGATTTGCAAAAGAATAATCGATTTTCTCATATGTTTGACATTAGAGGTATGTGGATCTTAACTTACTTCAAAGACATGTTTTTGGGTGAAATATTATGAATTCTAATGTTTCTTTTGTTTGAATTCTGGATCAGGTTTGACTATGTAATAGAAGCACAAAAACATAAGGAATTACTTGCTGATAATGATTCATTACATTTTTTACCAATACTAAAGTTAGACCATGTTTAGAAAAACATGGGAGAAATGTTTATAATGTTTATACTAGTGAGAATTTTTCATATTCCAAAAAATGTTATGGATTGCATGTGTAGACTGTGGAGTTGAAAATAAAAAAGAAAAAGATGGGATGGAAACAATATATATAGTTGACAATAGTAAAAAGAATATTAAATTATGAGAAGTAGTTTATAATGCTTCTAATCACAGTGCAAATTGCTCATGCAAAATGTCATGGTCTCAAGCATACCATGTAGACATATACTTTATATTCTAAATGGAAAATGTATAAATGAAATAACAAATAATTACTTTGTTAATCAGTGGGCCAAGTTAGTTACTAGCAAGCCTACTTTTAATATTGATGGTAAGGTTTAAAAAAGGGTGTTTTGAATCAAAAAATGAGAGCTAACTTATATTAGACACATGTGATCACTTATTTATTTGTATACACAAGGTTGGGCAATCTAAGGAATTTTTTCTAATAACTAAGTTATTAACATTAAAAAACAATTAATTGATGTGGAAAAAATAAAGATACTAAAAGATAATGTTGAATAGTGTCAATCAAAAACTCACATTTTTCAAATAATCAAGTATTCTTTGAATACAAAGCCTCTTCGGACTTTAAATAACCAAATATTCTTTGAATATAAAGTTTTTTCAACCTTTAAACAAATAAGTATTCTTTGAACACAAAGATTCTTCAAATTTCAATAAAATCAAATATTATTTTACAGTCAAGTATTTCAAGACTCAAGGCAACCAAATATTATTTAAATACAAAGTCTTTTTAAGCTTCAATTAACAAATATTTTTATACAATCAAGTCTCTTTAGATCCAAGATAATAACACTAAGATAAAGTTGGATAAGATAACTGTGTTATTTCGTCTTATTTTTAAGATGTGATACAATAATTTAAGTACACAACTTGTTGATAGAAAAAATGAAATATGTTTTTACAATGTGTTCTTTCTTTCTCTCTCTTTTTTTTTCCTGAATCTTCAAGCTTCTTTGTATAAGTGCTTAAGTGAAAATGACCGTTGTTAATCCTTGAGCGTCTTTCATAGACTTATTTTGTCAATCTTCATTTTTGTTCCTTATGAGAGAGATTAGACCTGTCATTTAAAATTAATATTTTTATAATTTTTTATATGTTTAAATATATTTTTAATCCTTCAAATTTATGATAAATTTATTTTTTATCTCTCAAATTTGTAACTGTTGTTTTTAATCATGTAATTTTTAAAAATATAATTTTAATCCCTCACATTATCAATAACATATTTAAAAATAATAAATTAAAACATTAATGCAGTATGAATTGAGCTTAATGCGATATTTTACTAATATGAATATTAGTTTTTAATAATTTTTATAATAAAATTTAAATATAAAAATTAAAATAATTTTTTTTTTGAAATTATAAAAAGTAAAATAACAATTTTAAATTTGAAGTTGAAAAAGTAAAATTATATTTAAATGTTATTTACATTATTAAAAGCCTAATTTCTTTCCATGAAGGCATGAAGTCATTAACAAAACACATTAAGATATTTAATTTAACCAAAAGGGGGAAAACTCCATAGTCTAGTCTAGTCCTACCCAAACCCAAACACTATCCCTCAGCTCTTCTCTGTGCTCTGCTGGCCACCCATGACGACGTCGTCCGGTTCCGTGAAGAACGCGATGCCCCCAAACCTCGAAAAAGTGCTTCTCAACAGAAAGCACCCCGAAGAAGAAGAAGAAGAAGAAGAAGAAGAAGAAGAAGAAGAAGGTGAAGAATCCAAGTCCAAAGCTGAACCCTCACAATCCTCTCCATCCACCGAAGACGCCGTCGCCGATGACAGCTCGAAGCCCATCGTGTTGATCACCAACAGTGACGGCATTGAGTCCCCGGGCCTCACTCACCTCGTCGAAGCCCTCGTGCGCCAGGGCCTCTGCGATGTCCATGTCTGCGTTCCTCAATCGTGGGTCCCACCGTTTTCCCCTAAATTCTCACTTCGTTGCGTAACTCGGTCAATTTTGTGGTTTCTTTCTTCTTATTGAATCTGGAATGTCTTTGCATAATTTTTTAGTTCCTGAAAATGGTTGCTTCAGGGACAAATCGGTTTCGGGCCACTCCGTCACTCTTAGGGAAACCGTCGAGGCCTGTTCCGCCCAAATTGATGGTGCCACCGCTTTTGAAGTTTCAGGTTTGGATTCAATTGCATCAGTTTTTACTCTTTCTTTAAGACACTGATTTGGATTCTTAATTTAAGGAGTTTAGCTCACTACTTCACTTACTGTTCAGTGTTTAGAAACGTTTTTCTTTATTTTGTTAGATCCGATGTGTATTGAGTTCATAGATGATGTGGATTTAGTAGTTTGGTTTTAGACTTTTAGTTGTGTAGGAAAAAAATGGGCGAGTTTGTCAAGTTCGTGTAAACTTCGTTCACAGACAATGTGGGTTTGCTGGTTTGCTTCTTGTTGTGTATGAATAAAAAAAAAACACTCTTCATCATAATCATCTGTGGAATTTTGGGACATGTAATGTAGCTAGTGATTTTCGGATTGTATCGGCTGTTACATATAATGCATCCAGAGTTGAGTAATGCTTATTTGGGTTTGATTTATGATTCAGGAACTCCTGTGGATTGTGTTTCACTAGCGTTGTCTGGAGCCTTGTTTTCGTGGTCAAAGCCTATGCTGGTTAGCATTTATATCATACATTTGATAACTATTTGTGGGTTTCTTCTCATTATCAAAATGCTAATGGTTTATGGATGAACATGATGTAAATTTTAGGTTATTAGCGGGATTAACCGGGGATCAAGTTGTGGTCAGCTCATGTAAGTTGTTCCCTTATGCATATTATATTCTATCGTGTTTTCATATTAAGCCTCTGTGAGTCCTTGAGCACGAACAGAAGTTCATTTCACGCTTTAAAATTCACCAGGTTCTACTCTGGTGTTGTTGCTGGAGCAAGAGAGGCGTTATTATGTGGTGTACCTTCATTGTCGATATCATTAAATTGGTACATTGGTTATTATTATTTATATCCAATTTGAACTATATTTTTCCTGCTGGAGATTGTGATTTAGTACCATATTCTGCTGCAGGAAGAAGGATGAAAGTCAAGAGACTGATTTCAAGGATGCAGTAGAACTCTGTTTACCATTAATAAATGCTGCTATCAGGGATGTTGTAAAGGGAACTTTCCCCAAAAGCTGCTTTCTGAATATAGAAATTCCTACATCACCTTTAAGCAGCAAGGTCTACAAGTTTTATTATAATTTACATAATAATATAAATTGCTTTACTGCATTATGAGAATTTTCTAGCTTTGGGCTATATATTGTAGAAAATCTAATAACTAGAGAAGCATAACATATGGTCTATCATTGACCATGTATTTTGTCCAGATATGACAGGTTTTTTTGTTTTACATGTCAGCTTTTTTTTTTTTTTTTTAATTAGACAATGACATTTACACCCTTATCATTCTGTTTCTTTTGCTGCTTGGGTATTATTGTGGTGGGTTGAATATCTTTGCATAGTGACTTAATTTCACTTATCCCTCTTGTTCTGCCGCCACCTGGTGGCATTGGCACCTGCCTTTTTTTTTTTCCCCTTTCCCTTTCTTCTTCACCCATCACTCTTTCTCTTCCTCCTTTCTCGTTGCCATATACTGCCATCCATCTCCTTCTTTATTGTTGAGTGCTACTGCAACCCTGGCAAGACTATACCAGTCACCAGGTGCACAAGGCTCGAGTTTCCAGAGGGAATCCATCTGAGAGTGATTAGAAGCTGAAAATCAGAGTAGAGGGTGGAGGGAAGTCTAAAGAAGAAAAAACAGAATGGAAGCTAGATTTTATTATTTTTTTAATTTATTTTTTCTCCGATTTTTATTTCGCTTTTTTACATGTGAGATAGAAGGAAAGTTGTTGGTATTCATCTAGCAGACTTGAATTGAGACCAAGGAAAAGATTGTTCAGTTTAGGTATTCTACACAGGCTGTATTTGATTGGGATTCGGAATCAGAATGAGATAATGATTCGGCTGAAAGATATGACTGGCATTTCTTTCCAAGTTAGGGACAATTGTGTATTTATGCTGTAATATTTTTTTGGTTTTTAACTGGTACAAAGGATTGCAACTAACTCTTTTAGAACCCCCAATATTTCTCTAATAAATCTAACAGTCATTAATAACTTGTCCACCATAAACCACATTATTAACTTGACCACTGTAGCCTCAGTCCTCAGAGTCACAGTGCTGTGTGTTTAGGTTCTGCTTTTCAAGTTTTACTTTTTGTTACCCTTTTTAGGGGGATTTGTCTCTTATAATGAACGTTGTTGACATACATTTGTTGGGACTTTTATGTACTCACAGAGTACAGATAAAGTCTCAGAGAAAGGAACCTCAAGAGGCTTGGATTTCAATTAACATTTCTTCCCCTGGATGTTGGTCATAAGTTGCACAAAAACTACATGGTGTGTAGGATGACAATATTTATTCCCACATTGTAAGAAAGACTAAATCGTATAGGAGACAACCATAGTGATAGAAACACTAACTATATGGATATGTGAACCTTTTTTTTATTTGGGAAATTTCCTCTTAAAGAGGATATTGAAACTTGACAGTTTGACATTGTGATTGACCTCTATTTCCTTCCCCTACTTTCTTAATTAGGCAATACATTTTAGTTTCACCATTCTTGAAGTTTTGGTTCACTGTATTTACTCTTCAGTGAACTATTTTTGGTCCTTAAATATAATATTGCTGCTGTGCTATTGTTTTGTTGACAGGGCTTCAAATTGACCAAGCAAAGCATGTGGAGATCCACTCCAAATTGGCAAGCAGTTTCAACTAGCCGCTATCCTCCTGGTCATTTCTTGGCCAGTAAACAAGGCCTTGGTCTTCAGTTTGCACAGATTGGCCGGGATGCTTCTGCTGCTGTGAGTGTCCTAAATAATGTGTGTAATCTGGTATTTTTATGCATCTGTTGATACTGACTGTATATTTTTTCACATCTTGGCCAGGGTGCAGCCCGTAAATTAACTACACAGAAAAAGAATTTGGAGATTGTCGAATCAATTGGAGCTGCAGGGAAACCTGATTCCAACAGGGTGAAGAAGTACTTCAGATTAGAGGTAAATGGGAGGGATATATGGCAATATGGGTCAACCTGTCCCACCCTGGTTGTAGGGCAGATTGACCTGTTTTAGAAAATAGGTTTGGAAATGGCAAGGTCAACAACTCATGTCATTTCCAACTTTCCTAAAAACGTAAATAAAAGGGGTGGGTTGGTACAGGGATGGGAATGGGGCGGGAGGTTACTAAAGTATTTAGGCCTTTACATGCATTTAAATAAAAAATCCTGGATCAGACTTGTATATTAGCAGTTAGCAACTTTAATCTTCGTACACATATCTATACACAGTTGGTACCTAATACCTAAACTTATCACGTTTTAGTTAAATGGAATATGCTCTGCCGTTATTGTATTTTCTTTGACAAACTATTCAAATAAGAATATGATAGGTACTGAAATTCATTATAGGAATTATAAAGAAAATTCACAGAACAGAGTTATGATTAGAATAGAGAAAATGCAGGAAAATGTAGAAAAGGAAAGAAAATACCAGAGAATATCCTTCTCTACCTTGTGGCACAGCCACCCCTAAACTACCCAATTGATTTGCCTACCTCTTATTTTCTCCCTCTTCCATTTTATCCTTGCTCAGCCTCAGTGCTTTACACACTTCCTGCCACACATGCAAGTTTGTTGCAACCTATGTAAATTCTTCTTCTGCCCTTATCCATATAAGAGTGTCTAACAGAGTTCTATTTTAATACTAAAATTAATTATGAAAAATCTATAAACGTGCATTAGTTAAAAGTGCAACATCAACCCTATTTAAAAATATCCAAAGATTTTTCAAATACTAGTTATGAAACATAATAAGCCACATTTTAACTAAATTCAAAATCCAACCTAATAAAGTAAAAAGCAATTATATTCAATACAAAAAACAATGCAGTGTTTTAACATTGTGCTTGTAATAAGACCCTAAGGCTTGTATTCATTCTCCAAGAGTTGCCAAAAAATAATATACACAGTAATTAGTTATATATTGTGAAATTGAAAATAACACAAATAGTTAGGTTATTTCACCTCATTGTTAAAATTAGACCGTAAACACTCGTCTCAGGTTATTTCATAAGTCTAAATATTGTTTTGGTCCTCTAATTCCTAGAGGAAGTAAAACATAACAAGGAAATTAGGTGTGGGACTATCTAATTAAAATAAAATGATATACTAATACAAATATAACTGAATGAGAGTAGTCGAATATTCAGTACTTTCCTTTGCATGTTCTATCCAACTTTGTGCATACACAAGTACCTCCAATGTACTCTCATGAAACCTAATCAGGAGGACTAAACATCCTACCTCCTATGCTCAGAGCAAACTTAAAGCAACTGTCAAAATTGGAATAGCCAAAATATCCTTGACAATTCTATGCAATATTGAGTACTTGATTCCATTTGTTTTCCATCATTCAAAAATATTCGTAGGGAAGATCTTCTCTTTTAAGTAGTGATCCTACCAACTCACTTTCATTACATTTCACCGAATCAATGAAAAAGGAGTCTTGACGACCATTAATATTGCTAAAATGTTAAGATTATTTGACCTCTTGTCATTGAACTTTGCACTAGCCCCATGTTTTAGCCAGATAATCTTCAAAAAAAACAATGAGTAGCATATTTCTTGGCATTGTTCATTTGAATGGAAGAAGTACTGAAGCAACTTTAATTTGTATAATGAATTCAGAACAACGGCAATGCCCTCCATGAATAACTGGCCAACATTTTTCTAATTTTGCACTCAGTTTCAAAATCATATTTCTAATAGCTTAAGTTTTATCAACTTTGCCATTACTGCAAAGAATAGGAAGATATATATATTTTTTTCTTTTTCAAAATATGATTTTCAAATTAATTATATATGGCTTTAGTTCTTTTCTATGTGATATTTATCACAATTAAATGATTTTAAATTGTTTCTAGAAGTAAACTTAGCTATACTATACTTGTATCAGCAGTTTTTGGATAAGCAGCAGGAAGATACAGACGACGATCTGGATTACAGGGCACTTGAAAGTGGATTTGTAAGTTTGAGAACTATATTATATTTAAGCATGTTTTTCTAATGTATCATTGATTTTTTAATTAAATACTTTTTTATGCTCAAGGTTGCATGCAAACAATAAAGGTCTTCATTGGGCTGTTACTATATGCAATCGAGTTTATTTATTTCATCTGAACGAACCTTGCGTCTGATTTGAATGAACAGGTTGCAGTTACTCCTCTCTCACTTTCTCCTCGTACCGAGACGGATATTGAAATGGCAGCTTCTGATTGGATTTCATCTGTGCTTCCTGGTGAACAATAGCCTCAAACAGAGTTCAGCTTCAGCGTGATTATGTACATTTGAGATTTGAGATGATTCTTTCTTTTCTATTTTCTTGAAAGCAAAGGTGGAGTAGAAGCGGCATTCCCACCTATTCTATAGTTAATATCAATGTGTACTGTTCTTTTTTGTGCAAGATATTTTGTACTCACCTCTTCGTTGTTTCATTTCTTTTGATCGCTATTTCAGCTGTGAAGCAAATTCTTATTTGCTTCCTGTAATCTCGTAGGCATATTTTAAAAATGCCATTTCATCTGTTTGTAACTTAAAAGCTACTGGCAAAACGCCGGTGCACTTGTCATTGTAAGTTGTAACTTTTCACTAAATTGTTGTTTGGAAGATAGTTTGAAGCTTGGTTTGATGATTTTCGAGACTCTGGTCGGATATACTGCAGCCGTGTAAGCATTTCAACCTTTCAAAACATTTTTCAATGCAAAAATATCAAATGAAATTGGTTAAATGGTTCCTGAATATTATTGGTAATTGCACCACTTGCTGTCAAAAGTGATTGAATTTTTAATTCCAATATTAGTTGGCATACAATAGAATAAATTATATATTAGTTGTAACTTACATATATATATATATATTAAGTTTCCCGGGATAAATTATATAAAAAATTATAGAACTCCGAAAATTAGCTGTTTGTGATTTTATTTTGTTTAGTTAACAGAAAAAGAATATTTATGTTAAATATAAAAGCAATACACGAATTAACTTGTCATTTTTTTTAGATTTTTAAACTTTTATATAATTCAATTGTTTTTAATTTGATATCTATTAAAATTAAGTTATAATTTAATAAGTATTTGAGTTGTTTTTTGCTCTTTAATAATATATTTACATAATTAGTATTTTAACTTGCATTGCACAAGTCAAATCTAATATGTAAATTTTATAATCATACTAGCATTTTGTTTGTGGTGTATGTAGAAAGTGAAAATTGGGTGAATTTTCATATTCTCATACTATTGTATCATTTGTATGTTTGTGATATAACAATAATTACCTAAAAATTATGTAATGATGCATTACATACAAGTGTATAGATTTGATGATTCGATAAAATATAATATATTTTTTAAATTAACAAACATTTTATGATTAAAAATATAAAATCAAAATTATGAATTGAAAATCAAAGGCCATCATCATAGTGATTGGGCGTGTCACCAAAATAAAAGTATTAGTGTTAGTACGAGAGTAACAAAAGACAAAAATAAAATAAAATGGAAGATAGTCGTATTCTATATTTTTAACCAGAAGGATGGCAGTCTTATTTAAAATTCTTTTAGATTTATAGTTGGTCTATATTCCAACATCTTTGAAGAAATATACTCGTGTATATATATATACTTGTTATAAAGTTCTTATAAAAGAGATACGTTTTTAGTAATTATTTTTGGTTTTTTATTTTAATTATATATTTTTATCTCTATATTTATATAACATATATTTTCAATTTCAAATCTTAATATTTTATTTTCTACATTTAAAAAAAAAATCTTTTCTCCAAGCTCTTTCAAAATAAACAAAGTGCTTTTTATTTTATTTTTTCTTACTAATCGAAAATAAATGGGTTACAAGACACGTTCCGGGTCGGGTAATAGAAACCCGAACTCGGAAAGAGGCAAATCTGGGATCCATCAAGGTTGAGACTTGAGAGGTTGGAGATTGGTTTAGGGTTTAGGAAGCATCGCATTGAGTGAAACAATGGCGTCTCTGAGAAGTGGAGCTTCGTTGCTGAATCGCCTTTCGAAATCGCTTCTTCATTCCAACAACCCTAAACCTCTATTATTCCCTTCTCTCTCTAAGCTTCCCGCTGCAATTTCTCCCCAAAACGACGCCGAATTTCCCCACCACCAACCCTTTCTCTACCCATGCGGCCTCCCCTCTCTCCGCTTCTTCTTGCCTCAGGGTACACTCACTCTCACTTTTTCCGATGCTATTCTCGTTTGTTACGTTTCATTGGTCCAATGCAGAATGTGATTCGTGTTCTCTATTGTCACTCATTTTCACTTTTTCATTGATTCACTACGCTTCTTTAAATTTATTTCTCAATCTCTGCTGCTGCCCTTAATTTAATTGTACTTGAGTTTCAAGGGAACTTGGTTGCTTTTTCTTGCATTATGATATTGAAGAAATATTAGTACCCCTAGACGTGTGAAATTAATTTTTAGGGTTTATTGTTATATTTCATGCTACACTTTTCTATTATCAAATAGAGAGCCTGTTTTGGATATAAGCCATAAGTGAGTTTTTCTGCTGAAAATAAAGAGTTATTTCCAACAGATAAGCTCTTAGAAACACTTTTAAGCTTGTAATCAAACATGAGATGCTGTTTTATGAAATTTTAAGCATTTAACTTCCTCCCAGAAGCTTTTAATTAGAATTTCTCTATGTTTTGCAGGGGATGCTCCTTCGGCTGATGAACCGATGCTTTTATTCCCCAAAAGGACATTTCAACCTAGCCTTATTAAACGAAAGAGGAACCATGGGTTTTTTGCCCGGTAAGTCCCTCATCTTTTTAGTTATATGTTCCTTTACTATAAGAAAAAAGAGTTGAAAAGATGGCTGCTTAATGCTTCCTTTTATTCTACATGAGTGGCAAACTTCGTAATTTTAAAACTCTTGCGCAGAATGTCACCATTCTTCAGCATACACTATGACTATGCAGAGGCCTAATTTATGCATAGGATCTGAAGGAATTAGATGATCAATTATTCTTTTGATCTTGTCACATCATTCAATTTCATTATGCCTTCTATTGCTTAGACAACATGGAAATAGCCTAGAATATTCAAAAACCTTTTCGATTAATAAAAAGCAAAACCTATGCCTGAATTATAAACAGAGTGTTTCATTGATTGTGACAATGCATTTGAGTGCTATCTTTCATTGTGTTGCCTATGTCTCTAGACTGTGGTTGCTTTGTTTTTGACATAGATAAATGGGTGCCACATTTTAGACTATGACCAGGCAAAATGGCTCATGAAGTGCATGATTGTTGGGCCAATAACCATTGCTTCTTTTCTTTTTCTTATATATGTGGGTGGGAAACTGGGAATCAAGTTACACTAGGAAGAATTCTTGGTAGAGTTATTTCATTCAATAATTCTTTCTATATATTAAATTTCAATAATCTAGCAGTTGAGTAGAAGTTCTTTTTGAATAGATTAAGTCTATAAATAAAGAAAAAATTGTTGAATGGAGTAACTTTATCAAAAGTTAATTTTGGAGTGACTTGATCCATATAGATATATGTGTGTGTGTGTGTGTGTTTGTAAATTAACTATTACACCATTTAATAATTTTTAATTGGATAATATTATATCCAAATCCACATAGATCATATCTATAAAGTTTTATATTAATCCAAAATTATTTGATACCTCATTTACACACATCAAAATTAATGTAATATATACTTTTAAAATATAGAAAATAATGAATCATTTAATTACTTCTTATTGTTCAATTTTCACAAATTTTGACGCAGACAATTAATGTAATATATCATTCTAATTCAACAGTTACATAAGAATCGCATTTTATATGAAGGGATTGATGGTATAATAGTTTACATAAGTTACACTAGTATAATTTGATTCCTTTCTCTATATATATCTGCGGTGTAGGACTGTTGATGACACACTAATTGATATATCACTGGTCCTTATTATTAAGTAAATGGTCACATGCCTGCTTCCTAATCAGTACGAAGTTGTTAACGTTCACAAGAATTATGCCATGAGGACTGTAGATGACACAATTTTTCTTTTACATGAGCAGGAAAGCAACCAAGGGTGGCAGAAAAGTAATTGCTCGAAGAATAGCCAAGGGCCGGTTTAGGATTACAGCTTAGTGTCCTATTGCTTTGACATTGGAGCTAAATATTCAATCTAGAAACTTAGTGCACTTCATGTTAAGAGCCTTGTGTTTTTCTTTTGGTTTGGTTGGGGTGGGAGAGTGGAGTTGTTCTGACTCCGAGTAAAGTCTGCAATGGGCAATTTTTCAGGCAACTTTTGTGTGTGGATATGTTAAACATTCAGTATATTGTCTATTTGAAATTCTCGTCAGTAGTTGCAATAATTTGCGTCTCTAGTATTAATTTTATGTCGAGTACCGCAGAATAATCTAGCTTACTGGATTGTAAAGAAACTTGTAGCTTTGTGCTTTTTAATGTCCTTTTATGGGTGTGCGAGGATTTTATAGATAAAACTAAGATTAATTCAGCAAAAGAAGTGGTTTTTTGATTTGCGCTTTGGATACTTCCAAATTTTGTTTGGTACAAATTGAGGCATTTTGCTGCTTTGGTTCATTATCCATTTGTGTTAATGATAAACAATCATGCCCTAAGAGGTCGTCTTTCCCAAAATTGTACTATGGATGTCTTTGGCTAATTAGCTTAATTAATGCTACGTTTAGTTTAGGGAAAAAAATTAACGCTATGTTTAGTTTAGGGAAAAAATGAAAGGGAAGAAAATGGGAAGGGGGAAAAAGGTATATAGAAAGATTAGTATTAGCTCTACAGAAATGAAAATGCATATTTTGGGTTGCTTTATGTTAGGCCTGACATGATTAATAAAGTTGAAGTAAATATAATTTCAAAAAGACCTTGACATGATTTATTTAGTAAATAAGTCTATGTTAGGCCTGACATAAAGTTGGTTTGTTTATTTTTCTCTACTAATTATTCATACCATACAATGCTACAATCTAATTCACGCTTTAAATTATTGATGAAAATATATGATTTATTGATTAACCAATTTGTTTTTAAAGATATAGAGTTAAAATCATATATAATCACTCAAATTTATTTTCTATAAATAAGTATAGATTGAATGTAATTTGATTTTTTAGAAATATATGGAAGCATATACATGTGGTAAATTTGTGTACACTCTTTACTTTATATTTATCAAATTAACATATTTTCCATACTTATATATGATTCTTTAATTGTTTTGTTTTAAATATTGGAATAAAAATCGAATTCAATTCAATTATATATTAGAATTCAATTTATTTGTTTCTAGTTTGGAATTATTTTTATTTTGGGTCTTACCAACTTGTTTAAAAGCAGGCCTTAGTTGGGGAGTAATTTAGAGTCAGAATTAAAAGTAATAAAAGTATATGTACAAAAATTAATGTAGCTAATTATCTATATACCTTGACTCAATTTTTATTTTTTTTTTCGTGGGCAAAAGAAACCTCAACTCAAATTGTTAAGCATGAATTCCCTTCTCCTTACAGAATGTGACTCCTCAATTCTACTGGGATACTCACCTCAATTATCTTTTTACTCTCTGTTTTTTTTAATCATTCATTTGATCATGAGTGAACACAATAAATCGAATTGAACTTATAATTTTGCACTGAACTAAAAGAAAAAAAGTTTTCTTGAATTAAATTGAATTCAATATTGGTTGAGGCAAATTAAATTGAATTATTTTCTTTTCTCACTAAACTGTACTATTTTTCTATTTTAAATTAAAGTGTTTTGGTCTGTTAGACTAAACCAATTTAACATAATTTTTTTGTCACTTTTATTTTATTTTATTTTTATTTTTTTATACTCATATTATTGGGTCAAGTTATTTCAACACTTCTATTTTTTACATTTTTATATGAAAATATAATTCAGATCAATTATCATCACAAGTTGGAGTCAATTCGTTTTTTTTTTTTGACTATCCCTACATTTGATTGGTAAGAAATAAATAACCAATAACTAAGAGAAGAAATAAGTAGAAAATAAAACGTTCAGTTTTTGATGGAATGAAAATAGGTTAAAAAAGAAATTAAAAGTTACAAAAACAAGTAAATGAAGGGTACCATTGTATATCCACATTAACAAGCGCATAAATTGCACAATAAGCCTTTATCGACACTTCTGATTATATAGTTAACTCCGAGTGTCATTTTATAGGTAAAATCACTTGTTTTGATGATTTAATCCATTAAATCATAAAAACAAATGATTTTAATTTAAAAATTAATTATAAAAATATTATATATATATATATATATATATTGAAGTTGGATCAAGGAAGAAAGGGAAGAAGGAATGTGCAAATGCAGCAGTAAACCAGATTTACACGGCGGTAGTCCGCACAATACTGGGTATCAAGGGCACACCTGACGAGTCAGACTTACAAATCTCAGGTTTTCACAAACTTTTATGATGCAGAAATGTAATGCAAGAAAGAATAAAGATTTAATACAAAAGAGTTGTATTGATTGAATAAGAAATACAAAGGCAAGAGAGAAGGAGGAGCTTCTCACTCTAGGCTCTCTTACACGAAGGTGTTTCTTACTTACAAGTTCTGCCTAACATCATGGGCAGAGATTGGTATAAATAGGAAAACTAAATTTACTATTACAACAGTGATTACTATTTCAACAATAAAATGAAATTTTCCGCTACAGTGAACTACATTGAACAGTACACATCCGCAAAATGAGCAGTAATGACTGAAACTGTTGATGTCTTCAGATTGGGTAGACGTCTATGTAGACTTCTGGACTGGAGTAATAACGGTAGATGGTGATGACTACCTGTGGTACAGGGAAATCCTGAAATTGAATGTTAATATGACCACCTGGGTATAAGATTATCATGATTAATACATAATTTTATTGATGATTGATAAAGATTAGTCCTCCTCGGATGCTTCTTCAAGATTAATTCCGAAGCAATCGTCCTCATTCTGGAAATATGATCCGGATGAAGAAGATGGGGAAGATACTTCTTTCTTTGCTTGATTCTGAGTCCGTCTGCAGTAGATCAAGGATTTGATGAAGATTTGCAGTTAAAACTTCATCATTTGTTGACGCTGCTAGGGCAGCTGCGATTTTAGCCTTCCGGTTAAGAAACTAGCAGGTTTCTGGATCAGCGGCCTTAAGGTTTTTTGGATTCTTTTGGAACCAAAGTGCCACTCCCTGAGAGTTTGCCCTGGAAGCATCAAACTGATCCCACCATTTAACAAAGGCTTGCTTGCCTAAGATTGGGAGGAGCTTGGAGGTTTTCTTGAACTGGTGTTGCCAGACAAAAATCCAAGCTAATGAAAATTTGGAGAAGAAATGAAGAGATGGGTGGAACGGGTTGGTCCCTTCTTCAAATTTTGCTTTGAATTGATTGTATCCTTCCTTAATGTCTGGGGGAAGGATATTTTGAATTGGTCCGAAGAATTCCCACCACTCAGCAAACCATTGTGGAAAGAAATATCGAACCTTTTGTTTGAAATAAATAAGCCAGGAATGCCTATGATGTTTGTTTTGAAACCAGAAAACATTTGTCCAGGCATTGATGTAATCCCAGTAATTATACCCTATTGGGTCAAAAGGCTGAGAAAATTTTCTGACTTGATTAGGTTTGTTTTCAAAATCTTTAAAAGTAAAGATTTTAAGAATTTGAATTGTTGAATGTGTGATAAGCTGGTTATCACTTTTGTCAAAATTATGTTTAATAGAAACAGACTTTGAATCCACCAAAATAAATTCGTAAAATTTCCTTGTCTTGTTAAGACTAAGGGGTTTGAAAAGAAAAGTTGGTGGAAAGATTTTTTCACAAATCTTGTTTGGGTTTGGATCCTAGAATTCGGGCTCCATTTGGATTGTTGGGTAAAATCTTCCTTCTTTTGGTAGATAGGAAGAGGGTTGTTTCTGGGTAACTGGCTGAGGCTGCTCAACCAATTCTTTTGATTGCAGAGTAACCTTTGATTTGGCTATTTCTGAAATAATTGATTTCATGTTTTGGTCCCAGAAGAGGTCATTAGGTTCTTCTGAAAAAATATGTTTCAAAGATTTGGAGGGAAGATTGGTCAGCCCACAATCCTAAAGGGCTTGAAGGGTTGGAAGAGCCATAGCATAGTCTGATGGCTTAGCCGGTTGGGTAGATGACCCAGATTTTATAATGGCTTGCTGAGTAGATGACCCATCTTGGGTAGATGACCCCTTTTCAGCTTGGGTAGATGATCCCTTTTTGGAAGTCTCTGAGGAGACTTTGATTGATTGGGCATCCTCTGTTGAGGATGTTGATTTTCCTGGGCGAGTTGATTTACCCAGAACTACTCCTTTTCCTCTTCCCCTGGAAGAGGTTGATCGTAGCCGTAGTTTTGGCGTCATTTCATGCTGTTTGTCCCTGAAGAAATTCACGGGTAAGATAGTCAGGTAAAGTATTTGAGCTGCCTTTGATGTATTCTATTTCAAAAATCAAAAACACTTAAGATTGCTTGCCATCTGGCAAAAATTTGTTTTGATACTAAATTTTTAACATCCTTTTGTAAAATTTCTTTGGCTGATTTACAATCAACCCTTACTAAAAAATTTTGATTTAGTAAATCAGATTGAAATTTTGAAATACATAGAACAATGGCCAAAACTTCCTTTTTGATAGTAGAATAGTTTTGTTGTGCCTTGTTCCAATGCTTTGATGTAAATGCAATGCAATTTTCTGTATTATGCATGCGTTGTTTAAGGACACCACCATAACCAATGTCAGAGGCGTCAGTTTCAACAATCTTTGGGAGATTGGGATTAGGCAGATATAGACAGGGTAAAACTTTAACCTGCTGTCTAATTTGTTTGACAATATTAGTATGGACATTGGTCCATGGAGGGGGAGATTTTTTAAGCCTTTCATCAAGGGGTTGAATAAGGTTATTGAGCTGGGAGAAGAAATCAGCAACATAATTAAGGCAAACTAAAAATCTCTGGAGTTGCGTTTTTTCAAGAATTTGATTAGGAAACTTATCAGCAAACTCGATGACTCGACAAATAGGCCGGATAGTCTCCTGAAAGATGATATGACCAAGAAATTTGATCTTCGTCTGAAAGAGACAGATTTTGGTTTTAGAAACAACAAGATCGTTACGTTTGATAACATTGAAAAATATTTCAAGATGTTTGAAATGTTGATCAATGGATGTAGAAAAAATAAGAACATCATCAATATAGACAATGCAAAAATTTGAATAAGGATTGAAAATATCACTCATGATATTCTGAAACTCTGAAGGAGCATTTTTAAGACCGAAGGGCATTACATTCCATTCGTATTGCCCAAAAGGAACAATGAAAGTTGTCTTATAGCGATCACTGGGGTTGATTTGGATTTGCCAGAATCTAGATTTCATATCAAATTTTGAAAAGATCTTTGCAGAGTGCAAACGGGCAAGCAGA